AGTGTCTGTATGAACCCTTCTCATTGACCCAGTGGTCAATCTGTATCCTGTCCAGTGGTGAATGTGTAGGCAGGCGGTCAGCTTGTAGATTGATTGACTGTCCAGTGGTCGGTCAGTGCCAAGGGATTTACAGCCCAGTGAAGAATGAGAAACAGTCCGAGTGGAGCAGTATGAAAGTGCAAGAAGGGGAGGGAATGGAGAGAGACAGAGTGAGGCCAGACAGTACGACCAGGGAGGGACAGTGTGAAAGACACAGCTCTGACAGGCAGGTCTGGTCACACCGCCATGCTCTGACAGCAGGAGAGAGTGCTGAGGTGCGATTACTCTGCGGGGGGAGAGATGTCTGAGACGCTTTCACACACGAACCACCTGGGAGTTTTACTCTGATCCTCGTGTGTAGGTACCGGAGCGATGAAGACGATGAAAGGTTTTGGGTGTGGAAGCAGAGTATTTACACACGAACAGTATCTCCTCACTTGTTGTGCTGTGCAGCATTTCCAGGCACACCTGGGGTGAATATAGTAGGGGAACGTTTAGCTGTTGTTGGATTTGTCACTGTCACAACCAGCAGCTCATCCGTAATCATTCTCCAGGATTAACTGCTGTCACTCTTATAGGCGTTTACTACTCAGCAGTTCCAGCTGCTGCTGATTCCCCAGGTCCTCTGATTCCCTGCTCATGGTGTGTCACCGGATCCCTAGGGATCAGAGCTCTGGCTCGGAGAGTGATCGGATCTGCGTGAGCTCACCAGAGTGCTGCCATGTGGTCATCTGGTCAGGCCAGAGTCCCGGAAAACAAGACCGGTTTGTCCCGCAGAGGAAACGGATCATTGAACAGAGTGTGAGCCATTTGCTAAAAGATCGATGCTGTTTACAGGAACGGGTGAAGGTTCATCCTCTGCTAGAAGGTGAAGAAAAGAAAGGCAACGTTCCGGCTGTGGAGTCTTCTTCTGCTGTGAGGGAGAGGGGACAGAGAGTGTCAGAGGGAGCAAGCACAAGGGAGCAGTGGGGAACCTTCATCAGATCCTTCGCCGCCCAGGTTTGCTGATGGGACTCAGACCTCTGCAACTGTTGTTTAAATACTGGGAGGCGACATTAACATGTAACTGGATTTTGAGAAACAGATGAGTCCCCAGTCACACATTTTACCGGAGTAGTGCGAGTATCGTTCCCTGGATCAGGGGCGTAAGAGTGAGTGTCCCAGTATTTGAATCCACAACCGTTCACTTACAAGGTTAGAGCTCTGACCACTGCCCCCTGTTAACTGGCATTAATCATTGAAGAGCTGTGGTCCAGATAAGGCCGAGGCCAGGTCTTAAATTAGATCAACGGGGTCATTAGGAGCTGCGGTGGGCAGCCGGCAAACTGTGGATCTCCAGGACTTCAGCCCCTCGCTGTAGCCCAGCCATCCTCCCTCCTGCTGTGGGTTTGCATTCTGGCCCATCAATCCCTGCCCTCGGCCAGTTAGTGTCTGGCTCCGTTAAACACAGCTGCTGCCCAGCCCTTAATCTAGGCGTGTCCGCTCCATCCCCGCTCTTACTGACCTGCGGCAGCTCATTGCTGGCGCTCACGAGCTGATTTAACTGCCTCTTCCAGTTCTGCCAGTCTGGAAAACACACAGACACACTGGCCTTGGCCACAAGAAGGTGTTTCCTTGAGGCTAGACTGAGCTGTTGCACTTGCATTTCTCCTGCGCTGTTACTGTCAGAACCTCATTTCACCCCATTTCATCCCATCCTGTTGCAGCACAGAAACACCCACTGAGCCATTCTTTTATGAGCTTTAGACTGCATTGCTTTGATCAGCTGAAAGTCCCCGATATCGAGATACAGTACAATAAGCACGCGACAGGTCACAGACAAGAGCAGGCCATTTGGCCCATCTAGCTTGTTTCCTTTTAATCCGACTATCTCAGCCAGCTGTTTCGTGAGAGAACCCAGCGTGAAGTCTTCAACAATATGTCGGCGCAACCTGTTCCAGCCTCCCGGAGAGAGAGAGACAGTCGTACAACTCGCCGTTACCCACAAACAACACTTCGTCCTCCGTCCAGATGAATTGGTGGGTAATGTCTGAAAATGTTCCGCCTTTTTCGCCTGTGCGTTATTTCTTCACAATTACTCTGTTCAGAACCGGCAACAGGAGCTGCGATGAACATGTCTGACAGCAACACGAACTGGAAACTTTGAGCGCGGGGGGGACGCAGGTCCAAGAAAGAGTACGATAACCGCTCCTGTGCTGAATCGTCTGCTGGCACCAGCTTGAGACATTTTCACGGCTCGGTGGGCCGCCAGTCGGCTTCCTCTGGGATTCACGTGGCCTTGGCTTTCGATTGGCGTTGGAGACCCTCCAGTCCGTCTGGCAGGGGCGGCTCCATTGTTCTCGGGCCGGGTTATCTTGGCCGTGGCTGTGCTGACTCTCATCCCGGCCCAGCGGTGAGCGGTGGCCCCTCTCCCCACGGAGCTTCCCGTTGGGGGTTGTTGCAGGCTTTGCTGGGATGACGCGACGTCGTGGAATTTGGCGGCCAGCAGGGGTGGGAAGGGGGGGGGAGAGAGGTGTGAGGGAGCCCCAGTCCTCCCACCCACCATGGCCATGTCCCAGAGGTGACATCACAATGCCTCCCTCAGTGCAGCCACCATTGTCTGTCTCTATCCCCACATTTTCGGCATCCCATCGCTCATCGTTGTTGTGCGGTGCTGTGCATCTCTCTCTCTCTCTGGGACCGGTGTGTGGGCACAGCTAAGAGGTAGGGGATCCAAGTGCATCTGATCTAATTGGGATGGATTGGGGGATATCCCTGTTCGCATCCCAGCTGTGATGTCAGTCCTTGTGTGCAGAAAGCACAACGGCAGCCTAGGGGACTTCTACAACTGTAAACGGCACTATAGCTGGAGGGTCGGATGGTCTCTTTGTGGAGCCCCAGTGCCTGAGGAGCTGGGAGAAGCTGTTGAATTGCCCTTATTAAGCCAGTGATGAACGGATTTAGGTCTTCAAGAGCGGAGTCGGAATGGCAAGCAGATACACCAACCCCCCAGGACCAGGATTGGAGCTGGATCCGGCATAAGGCATTGTGGTCCCACAGCTTGTGTTGTGGCAGTAGCGAGAACGATCTTGAAGCTTCTACGACTGGCAGCACGGTTTTGATTGTAGACGTAATAAGGCCCACATTTGTTGCTTAGCAGATGCTCTTATAGAAACTGAGTTACAGATACAAGGAACTACAACTGTGCCACGGTGATAGCTGCTGCTGCAAAGCCAAACGACCGAGAGCAGGCCCTTATCCTGACATCTCATGTGAAGGACAGAGCACAGAGGGCAGAGGAGAGAGCCAGTACCTCTCTGCGGAGCTCACAAGGGCCGTGGGGCGAACCAGCGCGCTCTTGGTAAGGAGATCTTTACCTGTCCAGAAGTGAAAGCTTTCTGTACAATGTGTAACAGTGCTAGCTGGAAGACTAGGGTGTGGCTGATGGGCTGAGGGGAAACATACAGCATTGTGAAAACAAGGCTGAGGTGTAGTAAAGGACCAGGACAACAATGGTAAAAGCCACAGACTCTAATCTTCTTTTGATGAAAAGTTTGCTAAGCCTTGTGCGGGCAGAGATTTGTACGTAAGAGGAAAGGAGACCTGTTTAGTATCTCGTAACTTCAACCAGAGGTTTTGTTCTCATATATTGTAATGAGTCTGAATCTGAGTCTGTTATACTGTTGACCAGAGTTACTCCACGTGAAGCCCCTCTGATCTGCCTCAAAGCAGTACTATAATACATTCACTCCCTTCATCGCTGCACTGATCTTGCAGTTATTGATCAAGCAGTGGGGAGAAAATGCCTCAGAGGAGTAGACTGCTGCAGGCTGCAAGCTGACTGGCCATGGTGCAGACAGTGGAGGGTATTTTAAAGGACAATTGGTGATACAAACTGCAGATATTGGACATTAACCACAGACCTTTATACTCCAGTGTACAGTCGGTTGGAGACTTAGGGAGCACTGAAGGAAACTGGGAAGTTCTGCTGCATGGACCTTCCACTCAGGGTGCTTCCCAGTACGGGCTCCAGGCCATCGTGACCCTGACTCGGAGAAGTGATGACTGAAAACGAGTGTCTGAGATGCCTGTGCCTCCCTGCGCCACTCTAACTCATCCCCTGTTCACCCGCAGGGCCGAGGGGAGGGCTGGAGCTGGGAGGAGTGACAGCTCTCGCCGGCGGTGCTGCAAGCTGGCAGATCCCTTACGACAGTGGCCATCGGGGTCCCAGTCAGCGTCTGGGACATGGCCCAGACCGGAAAGCTGTCCGGAAGACGGGGCTCAGGCCCTGCTCCTATCGACTGCCCCCTTTGGAAAGCCCCTAAATCCTGAATTTCATGCTGACATAAGAACTGAGTGTGTACACATATCAAAAAGAAATTGTCTAAACTAAATCCTAATGGAAAGGAGTCAAATTGTCGGTTGCTACGGTGAACCTTTTCAAGGACGGGCTGCCCTCGAGCTTCGCGCTGTGTCTGCCGTCTGCCTGCACACCCTGGAAGACTTGCACTGTATATTAACACAATCAGTCACTCTATAAATGGCAAGGCATGAAAATCCTCAGCTGAACACTGTAATCCTTTTCAAAATCTGAACATTCACAGAGGGTGGCTTGCAACAATCTGAGCCCAATATAGATGAAGTCCCCAGTGTCTCTGGCTTTTGCAGCTACTGATCTCTGTCCATGTGCATCTCACTTCAACAACCCATTTTACATATTTCAGGCCAGGGAGTCCTGGGCCTGATCCCACAGGCCTGGTGTGTCTGGAGGTTTTCTAGGTCTCTTTAAAGCAGCAGTACCAGCAGAGCTCGGGGAAGATGTTAAACTGGTCCAAATAATTCAATAATCAACTGATTTATGTCATTTTGAAAATCTGCACACACCAGCCCTCGGGTGATAAGGATTGGATACCTTTAGTGCATGCTGCTCTGTGCCTCTTCGACGGCATTGCCATATTAACAACACATTGTGGGCTTTGTGTTGTAATAACTGTGTCTTTATGCCTCGGCTTACAGCTATGGTCCCTGACCCGTGTAGTCAAGCATGAGGAAGGACAGACGGGCTCCTCTGACCTGCCCATTCTTATGCCAGTCAGGTTTTGACATGCTGCAAGCTCCACAGTGATCCACAAGATGTCCAGCACCGAATGAAGGAAAAGCACGTCCCCCGTCAAGAACATAAGTTTACAAACGAGAGGCCCATCTGGCCTCATTGGTAGTTAGCAGCTTGCTGGTACTAGGGTCTCATCCAGCAGTTACCTGAAGGAAGCTAGGGTATCAGCATCCATCGCATAGCAGGACAGATTGTCCCGAACTCCCGTAGCCCTTTAGGTAAAGCAATGGCTCCTGTTCTCAGTTTTAAATGCACTTTCAAGTAGTTTACACTTGTGTCCTCTGGTTTTTCTTGTCCAAAAGATGTCTGCTGGGTTGACTTGGACGGTGCCTTGCAGGATTTCGAATGCCTATACAAGGCTCCCTCACCATCTTCTCAGTTCAAGAAAAAAAAAGATCAGTTCTTTCGGCCTGTCCGTGTAGGGCATTCCTTAAAACCTGAAAATCTACCTGGTTACTCTTCTCTGACTGATTTCAGCACAGCAACATCTTATTTGTAACCTGGAGACCACAATTGTACATAATATCCAGATCCTGATCTAGAGGCTGAATGTGTGAGCGTCCCAGATCAAGCTTTTGTTGAGTAATGGGCAGATCGGTCGATGATGGGGTGTCAGTTTGAACCTGTGCATGAAATACATTGAAGCTGTATTAAGCTACTCTACAGTTTTGATGAACATATTAATCTGGTTAGAGATGAGTCTAGTGTCAGTATTCTACACAGCAAATGCAGAAAGAATATTGAGTTGAGCCGGTGACAGTTCATTCAAATACTCAGAGAAATGATCATGATGATGGTAGCATTTTTAAGTTGCAGTTGTGGCTACACTAAGTTGAGCTTCGTCAGAGTTTTGCTACAGATGTCCGGAAGAGAGAAGGTTCATTTGAAATCATCCCAGCTGTGTTGAGGTTGGCTGTGCATCACAGTGATGCTGTGATGCTAGACAAAACTGGGGTAATGCAGAAGAGGCCCAGCAACTAAGTTTCTCGTTAGTAGGGTACACATTCATTGATGTTGTTAATGATGGGGGTGTATTGACTGAGCCAAAGCGAGTTTCTATTTAGTGGTGCCCAGGAATGGTGCTGGAATGTGTGCATTTTGTGGATGATCTCTGGATATAAATGTGCTGGAGTAAGAACAATAACACCAGGAAGGGAATGGCATAGTATCTGGTGACCTTGTGTCCCCAGGGGGAGAACAGGAGAGTGAGGGATAGAGGGAGAGGACAGTGGGTCTGACACGCCAGGACAGGGGCATGACTCACTGCACAGACATGCCGAATTCCTGGCGTCTTTCCCAGGCTGGAATGCCAGGACTGTCAGGGAGATATTTCGGAGAGACAAAAGCCTGGTTTCTGTGTGTTTTTTTTCTGTGAAAGGCCTTTGTCCTTGAGGTGAGTGCCAGCAGGTCAGAGCCGGGAGGGGGTATTGGACTGTTCCAAGGCCGTCGTCCTTGGCCTTTTAGGGAGGGCGGTCGAAGGTATAAAGCTGTCCCTTGTCAGTGAGAGCCTTGACTTCTCCAGCCTGCCAGACTGCGGTACGATGTCACCCCCCCCATTGTGTCCATCTGTGTCTGACTGATTGTCTGTCATTGTCTGTCTGGTCCTGTGTCCAACTGTGTCTGATCGATTGTCTCTTATTGTCTGTCTGTCAGTGTGTCCATCTGTGTTTGATGGACTGATGCTCTTCGTCTGTCATTGTGTCCATCTGTGTCTGATTGACTGGTGCTTGTTGTCTGTCTTTGTGTCCAACTGTGTTTGAGTGATTCATATATTTGAGTCTGTCATATATTTCTGATGTACTGCTTGCTGTCCATCTTTCCGTGTCTTACACAATGTTGAGATTCTCACTGTCTGTCACTAACCAACTCTCACTGTATGTCTTTGTGTCTGCTTGTCTGTCACTCGCTGTCACTGTCAGTTGTCTGTCAAACAATCTCCCCTTGTGATTGTCTCGCAGTCTGTCCATCTCTGTATCTCTAACTGCCTGTTTGTCATCTGTTGGTCTGTGTGTCTCTCTGCTCCTGCCTGGGTCTATGGCACTCACTGTCACAGTCATGGTCTCTGTGTATACTGATACTGCATGGGACTCTGCCTGTGTGAATGAACTGTACTTGCCTGTACTGATATGGATGTGCACGGGTCTTTCACCGAGTCAGTTCTATTGGAGACATTAGTGTCAGAACAGCCGATCCAAGAGTGGGTGAGATAGGAAGCAGTAGGGGGTTTGGTTTGACATCAAAGTTTAAAGGTTTCAGTGAATGTCTGTGGGAGAAAAGGTGTGCCTCTAGACAGGTCTCCTTGACATGTTTATAGACCAATGGGCCTTTACATTTTAACATGCCTAAAATAAGTGTTCACGTCTTTACCCTTCTTTTTCATTTAAATAGAACTTTTGGAATAGTAAGTAAAAATGGAACTGGAGTCAATGGGAAGTCAATGGGTAGGGCAGGGATATGGACAGGCGTGTGTGTGTTTGTGCTCACAGGGGCGTGCGTGCCTCTGAGGCTGAGGACGGGGTCCTGTAAACAGACGAGAGAAGAGTGCGAGAGGCGGTGTGAGATACGGATATCGAGACAGTCAGCGATCCGAAGGCTACAGCGCACACAATGACATATTTGGAGAAATGTTTTTAACTATGAGTTGCTCGCATGGCAGGGTTTCAGATGCTATGGGCATGTAGAAACAAATCAGGAGAGCTTTCAGCTGTCAGGTGTGAGCGGCGGGGTCTCTCTGACCCCTTCCTCTGTTCTCGTCTCTCTCCAGGTATTTTGCCTGACAAGCCTCCTTCCCTCCTGAAGTGACAGTTCAGCCTGCAGGTCAGTCCGCCTTGCTTGCATCGCATGCGAACAGAAGACAGACACAGGTGATGTGACCATGTGCTCCGCATGTAGGAGCTGGAATTGTAGATTTCCCGATTTCCAACAGGGACACCTGTTTAAAAACGGGTCTTGGAGGCGGATTTTTATAGTCTTGATATTGAATTTAGAACTCGCCAACAGAGGGCCTGAGCCAGGGCCAACTTTTGGTTTGATGAAATGGAAGGATTTCTGCACTATAAATTTCAGGATGAAACAGATCACACAGGTCGCACTCTCTGTGCTGTATAATACTCATACTAAAAATACACTCTTTTCCTCTCTGCTGTACTGTATGGCAATGTGTAGCAGGGTACAGCCTCATACAAGTAAACAGAGAATCCCTTAGTAATACACACTAAAACAGGACAGGAGAGACAGTGAGAGAGAGGAGA